AACCATTATAAATAGTAGATTTTTTTGTTTATATATATATATTTTTTTAATTTTGAATGGGTTTCATGGAAAACCAATCCTAAAAAAATAAAGAGGAGTGAAATACAAAAGTTTTGACACTAATCTTGTCACGAAAGACAACCAGTGATGGGCTGTTGATAGTGGCCGAAAAAATACAATGCTAAAAAGTCAATTGTTTAAAAGTTTAGTGGCAAAATCGATGTATTCCTAAAGTTTAGTGTCTAATGTGATTTTAGGCATCAATAGCCTCACCAAAATGATTTTGTTTTGTCCATGTCATAACATAGTTTGGATTTTAACGGTCCGGTGGTCATTTCAAAATTAAAGTATAGTGTTATAATTGGAGAAACTAAAAGTTTAATAGAATATACAATATACCGTCTAAAGTTCAGTGATATTTAATATAATTTACCTTTCAAAGAATCATGCATCTTCTCAAAAACATATTTTAACATTAACATTAAGCACATAAATCTTAAACTAAACTTTTTGAAAATATTTTTCACATTATTTTTTAGAAACCTTTTTATTATTGTTGATTGTTGTGTATTTATTACATCGACTTGAGGCGAAGATAAAATATTTTAAAATAAAATAGTTATATTGTATATTATGTCTAATTATATATTTAAATAAGAATAATTTAAGAAAAATGAAGAATTCGAAAAATACCATGTGACTTTTAGTGATCATTTTCTTGAATTTGTAGGGTACATATCAGAAACAATGAAGATGGGAGCCAACCTTCCAACTTATCGTGCCTTTGCTTTGGAAGAACTAAGAGAGGCCACTGATAATTTCACTCATTCAACCATCATTGGCGAAGGTTCACTTTCTCAGGTATACTTACATATTATTTGTCTTAATGATACTTAAAAAAAAATTCTTGGAAAAATGATACTGTTACATTAATGCATTATTGTTAGTTTCATACGATTTAGCAAGAATTATCTTTTAACTTCGATGAAAAAAATGTCAGATTTACAGAGGAAAACTTGCAGATGGAACAGCCATTGCCGTTAGATGTTTAAAGATGAGAAGAAAACACAGCCCCCCGACATTGACTCAACACATTGAGACGATCTCGAAACTCAGACATAAGCATTTGGCTAGTTGCATTGGACACTGTTTTGAATGTTGCCCTGATGATTCAAGTGTCGGCATCATATATTTGGTATTTGAATACCTTTCAAATGGCACCTTGAGAAGTTCCATCTCTGGTAAGTCACTTTCAAATGTTACTCGAGCTCAGATGTAAGTGTTAGACACGAGGATATGTGTTTGATACATATATGGTCGATTTTCGTATATGTTACTTGATGTTTGATATGTGTTAGTTACAAATTTGTCTGACAATTGTATTCGTATATCTATATCTAAATATGTATCGGACACGAAACTTGGAATGTCTAACAAAGAAGTTTTGCAGGAGTAGCAGGGCAAAGGCTTAATTGGGCACAAAGAATAGCAGGTGCAATAGGGATAGCAAAGGGGATTCAGTTCCTTCATACAGGGATGATACCTGGAGTTTTTTCAAACAATTTGAAGATTACAGATGTTTTGTTGGATCCCAATTTTCATGTCAAGATTTGCGGTTACAATCTTCCTCTTTTAGCTGAAAATGGAGGAATGGTATGTTCGTCAACCTGTTTTTCTTTTCTTTTTTTACATTTATTTTAAATTAAAAAACAAAGACATTTATGTTAAGAGAGTGTTTTAAGTGTCGGATACAAATATGTATTCGGTTATACAAGAAAACTCGCTGATAGATTAACAATTTCAGGGTGGATCCATTGGACTTAAACCAAATGTTCGAGTAAGGTACATTCTTCATTCTAAACCTTATAAATAATTATATCATGATTATGATATAATCTTTGTTTTAAGTGAATTTATTCTTAATCATCTCGGGCATGATTGAAAGAAATTTTATCACATAACTCTTAAAAATTGCAGAGCAAATGAGGAGGAAAAGGATGATATCCATGACTTTGGTGTAATCTTACTGGAAATTCTTGTTGGAAGGCCAATCATTTCCCAAAATGATGTCATGGTCGTCAAAGACATTGTGAGTTTCTTCTGTATTTTTACGATAACATTAAACACGAACGATTATACAATACAGAAAATGTAAATCGTTGAACATAGAAATTGAATTCATTTTCTATTAAATATATAAGGTTAATGGTTGGTACTATTACTGTACTTTTGTGTGCAGTTACAAGTGAGCAACAAGATGGATGATACAGCTCGAAGAAGCATTGTGGATCCAACGATTATCAAAGAATGCTCGCCGGAGTCGTTGAAGACGGTGATGGAGATATGCCTGAGATGCCTATCCAATGAATGGACCGATCGGCCTTCGATCGATGATGTCCTTTGGACTTTGCAGTTCGCTGCACAACTGCAGGATCCATGGCGACTCGATTCTCATCATGTTCATCAACAATCTGTATCATTGCCTTTATAGTTAAGATTCACACTATCATTGAACAAACTCGAATAATTTACGAGTAAAAATGTCTCATTACCGTCTTGCAACATAACTGCATATTATAATCTCGGAATCGCATTTTACTAATCAATTTAACGTTCGTGACATTATCAACTTTCTTAAAACACTACTAAGTTCACATCTACAATAACGACGATATGTCGCATACCGATCACGACATTCACCACCGCATCCGCGACTAAACCCGTGATCATGATTTCAAACTATATTCTAGTGAATTGAAGTTAGGGAAAATGGGAAAAGCTATTGTTGGTGAAGAGAAGAGAGGAGAACGTCTTGGAGTAAACTGTCTCTTTGCATGGCAGCTTTGAATTATTCAAAAATGTGACCTTTCCATCACTGTTTACATCAAATGATAACTTTCCAGGCTCTGTAATATTTGGGGGAAGACAGTCATTTGTTATCATGTAATGAAGCAGAAAACAGCAATTGCAGCAATAAAAGTAATGAAGTTCTCCTTTACTTGGCAAATTATCTTATGGAAAAGCAGTAAGAACGTGAAATTCTTAGTAAAATGCTCCTTTGATCCTTGAAGAAGCATTTTATGGAAAAGATTGCGTCTTCGGGAATGTACTTTGAATAAGCATTTTAGTTAATTTTTCTTGTGCTTGTTGCATGGTATACATATAATGCTTCAATGGAGTTTGATTGAATGTATCATCGGCTTTGCCTTTTTGTTGTATGTACTATTTTCTTTTTCAGAGAGGATTTTGATTGTTAGTTTTGGCATTAAACTGATTAGGGTGTTTTCGAGTTCGGGTCAAGGTCGGTGTAAGTATATGTCTTGCTTGCTGGGTTTTGGTTGGGTCAAATTTGACCTAAAATTTTGTACAATTACATAGCATGAAACTTTAATTTGTTTCGCTGTAAAATTTTGATTTTAGTTCAATTATACACATGAAACTTTGATTTTACTTCAGTTATACACATTATAAAAATAAATACATCCATTTATTTTTAATCTTGGATGGTAAAGTACATAAATGATCTCCGACTATATAATATTATTTTGTTGAGTCACCGAAAATTAAAAGTACAAAGTGATCCCTCGACTATAAGACGTTGCTTTGTTAAATCCCCGACTATTTTTAATCTTGGGCGTTACTTTGATTTTACTTCGGTTACACACATTTTAAAAATAAATTCATCCATTTATTTTTAATCTTGAATCCTAGACCTCCATAGGAATATCTTAATTCTTTGCAGGCCTTGGTATTTGGCAATGGTCTGCCAGATTCTGTCCTTTGCTCCTTCCTGGTATCCGGTTTGGAGATCATAAGTCGACATGACCGTGAACATGCGGTTAGGTGTCCATTTCCATCCTGGGTTATCGGTAGTTTGACGTTGCCGTGGGGGCATCGTGGCCACTAGTCTGTGCATTACATATTTCGGTAGTATTGTTTCAAGAGCTGGCCACCTCCATTGGCCACATTCATCAACCATTCCTGCAATGGTTGTAAACGGTAAGGATGATGCTGTAGCCTGGTTCTCTATATGGTTAATTATCGGACCTAAATCACTCAGCTAAGGGTCTCTCTAAAAGTATACCCATTTTCCATCTCCAACCATCCATGTTAGGTTTGATCGTACCTCCTTCCATACAGTACCGACTCTTCTCCATAATTGGGAGCTGTTCTTCCTGGAGATGTCCCCAGGTACTTTGTCTAACCACTTATACTTGTTGCGAAGTACTTGAGCGCATAAGTGGTTTGGTATGAGTACTAAGTTATAAGCAATCTTCATCAGAAATGCGTTGTTTTGTTTCTCCAAGTTCTTGAATCCTAGCCCTCCGTCCGATATAGGAGTTCGTATCGTCTCCCAAAGAACTAAATTAACACCATGTTTTTCCTCCGTTTTGGCCCATATGAATCTTTGGATAATCTTTTCGATTTCCTTACATATACCTTTCGGTAATAGCGTCGATTGCATCGAATAGCAAGGGATTGCCGATAGCACTGATTTGGCCAAGGTAATCCTTCTTGCTAGTGACAAATTCTTGACCATCCATCCTGATAGCTTGTCGCGTACTCTTTGTACCACACATTGGTAAGTAACCTCTATTATGGTTTACCCTCGATTTTTTTTTCTGATATGGCCTCTTGGGTGTGTTCTTGGATATGACTTGCATCAAGTCTGGGAGGGCTAGGTGGCAAGTTCAATGAGCCGTAACATAAAATTTTATGTCCATTCGTATTAGCGACAACATGTAACAGTAGAGTTTGGTTGTAGAAGTTAGGAGTGTGTGGGAAAATAGGTGTTAAGGACTAAATTGGGTATTTTACTAATTTAAGAAAGGGTTATCTCCCGTTACTGAGCTAAACGGAAAAGGACCAAAAAGATAAAATCGACAAGTTTGAAAGTTGAGTGATCTAAAGAGAAATATACTAATTGTCAGACAACTATTTTTGTAGTTTACTTTTTTCCTTATATTTTTAACCAAACCTAAACTATCGACCGATAATCTTCTGTTCCTCGGCCTCAGGTTCTTCTAACTCTCCCTCTCTCATTTTTCTTCAAAATTTTCAATCTTTTTTTTTTGTGAGTAAAAGTAGCTTGTTGCTTTGTCTATAGAATTATAAGAACTCATTAATTGTTGTGCATTTTTTTGCCATATTTTCAGCTCATTTATTGCTGATGAATCACAAATTCCAAGCTTTCCATGAAAGTTTCTTCTTCAATCTTCAGGAAGCTCTTATTCATCGCAAAAAGCCCATTCAGGAAGATTCCTAGTAAGAATTTGTCTTCATTTTCTTCATGTCTTTTAGAATCCCAACATTTCTGCACTCAACACTCTGAAGAATGCAACAATCCCATGAGTAGGATCAAATCCCTACTCTCAAAACGAGGCTTCGATATTAACCCTGAGAGTCTACACGCCGTTGATTTGAACGAGTCGAATTTAATTCGGATTTTGACTCATTTATTCAATGAAAGTTCGAATGCTGAGCTTGCTTTGCATTTCTTCAAGTTGTCTGAGTATTGTATTGGATCATTGCATTCGCATAAATCGGTTTGTAAAATGATACATATATTAGTTTCCGGGAACATGAACCATATAGCTGTCGATTTTATTCTGAATTTAGTCAGAGATAGTGTTAGCAAAGAAGTTTCGGTGGATGTGTTGTTGAAACTCTTTTACGAGACTTATAGTGATAGAATGGTTTTTCAAACCGTATGTAGCATGCTTGTTCATTGTTATATTAGGGAAAACAAGGTTAATTCTGCTTTTGAATTAACATGCCAAATGAAGAGTTTTGACATGTTTCCCTCGGTTGGCGTTTGTCATTCACTGCTTAGAGCGTTGTTAGGGTTGAATAAATTGGAGTTGGCGTGGGATTTTCTCGATCAAATGATGAGGCAAGGGATTCATTTGAATGTATCAATTGCTACTTTGTTTATCGACATGTACTGCAAAAAAGGCCACCTTTTATGTGCTTGGAAATTGCTGATGGACATGAAAATCAACGGGATTAAACCTGATGTTGTTGCATATACTGTCATAATCAATTCCCTTTGTAAGATGTCTTGTTTAGGAGAAGCAACTTCTATTCTGTTCAAAATAGCGAGATTGGGAGTTTCTCCGGATTCAGTTTTGGTTAGTTCCGTTGCTGAAGGTTACTGTAAAGTTGGAAGACCAATGGAAGCAATGAATGTTATAAACTTCTTTAATGTTAAACCAAATATTTTTGTTTACAATAGTTTCATCGCAAAGTTTTGTTCAGAAGGTAACATGGTAAAAGCTTCTCTGATCTTTCGAGAGATGTTTGAGTTCGGGTTGCTTCCAGATTGTGTCAGTTATACTACTATAATTGGAGGCTATTGTAAAGATCGGGACATGAATAGAGCTTTTCAATATGTTGGGAAAATGTTAAAATGTGGAATTAACCCATCTGTGACCACGTACACTTTACTCATTGACGCTTGCTGCAAATCCGAAGACTTGGAAATGGCAGAAAATTTGTTTCATGAGATGATGAAGGAAGGTTTGGTACCCGATGTTATTACATTTAACACATTAATTGATGGATATGGAAAAATGGGTCACTTACACAAGGCTTATATGTTTGTGGATATGATGAGATCAGCCGGCATTGCTCCCGATGTTACGACCTATAACATTATTATTGATAGCCTAATTAAAAGAGGATTTACGAATGAGGCGAAAGATATTCTGGATGAGCTTGTCCGAAGGGGTGTTTCTCCAGATACAATGACATTTACCAATATCATAGATGGGCTATCCAAAAAAGGGGACTTTGAGGAAGCATTTCTTGTATGGTTTTACATGACTGAATGCGATGTGAAACCTGATGTCTTGACTTGCAGTGCTTTACTTAACGGCTACTGCAGGAAAAGACGGATGGCAGAAGCTAATGCTCTGTTTGTTAGGATGCTTGATATTGGGTTGAACCCGGACCTGGTATTATACAATACTCTCATTCATGGATTTTGTGGCATCGGAGACATGGACAAGGCATGCAACTTGGTTGAAATGATGATTGGAAATGGTATCCTACCTAATAAAGTTACTCATCGAGCATTCGTCCTTGGGTTTGAGAAAAAGTGGGTCAAGAATCCTGAAGAAAGTGCAGCTTTGAAACTGCAACAACTTCTGCTGAGACATGATATCCATTTCAATGTCAATGATTGTATAACTTTTCCATAACTTTTCCTCTGAGGTGCAACACTGCCTCTGAGGATTCCCTTCAGCTGTATTAGCTGTAAGATTGTCTTCATTTCATGTTTCTTTTATTGTATGCTTGATTTAGCCAAATTAAGTTGGACTTTCCTTAGGCATTTTATTTGTCATACTTTATTGTCATTTTGGAATATTTTTCTGATTACCTGCTCAATCTATGCAATCTTACAGGTGGTATTGCTGGTATGACTTGGTCTTCTTAACAGAGCTTATCTGCAGGGTGTTAACTTTGCTAACTAGTGATCATATGACTGGACACTCATGAGTATGTGTGCTTACCAGTGGTCATATTTTCAGATATCAGATGAAGAGTTATCGGATATGAACTTGATTTTTGGCAGACCCGAGTTTAAGGTATATGTGTTCCTTATCTGTCCATTAATGCTGCTAAATCATATTATGCCATATCTATGTTGCTCTGACTCTTCTTTTTGTTTAAAGCTTCTGTGTTAAGATATTCGGACATGAATATGGGGATACAATGCTTTTAGTACACTTTAAATGCATGGAAAAACTTCAAGACAATTGAATATACCCTTGTTGGACGCATTTCTGTATCTGCACTCGCACTCAAACCCGAGTAACAGAGTTGCACATGCATGCATACATTCAATTTCCTGACCAAATAACCTTTGAATTTTCATACATCATGGAGTCTTTTGATGTTTTCATGCATGCATACACATACATATTCACATTGAATGTATTCTTTGTTCATAATTTTATCTGCTTTAGAAAACTCGAGACACCAATGAAGATTTAGTGATGAGAGTATAGTTGGCTTCAGAAATAAATCATTAGCTATTGGTTACTATCTTTGTTGCTCTAACTCTTCAGTTTTCTTCATGTTCCCATGTGTGACACATTAGGACATGAGTATGAGGATGTGAATATGGCACTTCAAATACACGAAAAACTTAAAAAAAGTTAAAGATATCTGTGTCGTATTACGGCTGCATGGCTGTACCTCACAAACCTGAGTCTGACTAATGTAGGTTACTACCTTTAATGAGGATATGAGCCAGAGGGAAAGAGAGGTTGTGGGACCCTCTTCTTAAAAACATAATCTTTTTGTAATCAGTTCTTTTTCTTTTGTACTCATGAATGCTTATAATGTAATTCAGGTAACTTCAGGGTGTTCATCTTAAAAATGCAGATGTTCTTTAAAACTTGTTGAAGATATATGGCAGCTAGTGAAAATGGTCCTTTGATTTGAACTCTCTGGTTCAAAATATGTGCTCTGAACAATGGCATTGCAAGTTCGAACTTGTGAGTTTGTTTTCCTTGCCTCTCTCTTTGAGAATTAATGCAATCTTTTTTATAAGCATGGTGGAATTCTAATTGGTACTCGTTTGATCATTTTCTGAACGTGCATATGTTGCTTATAATAATAGTTATGTTGCTCCGACCTTATTTTTCTTGAAATACTCGTCTCTAACTCATTTTAGACATGAGCATAGGGATGTGACTTTTCAAATACCCTCCAAATATATGGAAAAACTTCGAAAAAAATTGGAGATACCCATGTTGGAAACATACCTACATTCGACAATCACACTCGAGTCTGAGTAACAAGAAGATATTACTTCTAGACCCAACATCCTTTTCCATGCCAGTGGTGCTAAATCAATATCAATGAATGATTTTATACCAAATTCCTAGATGCAACATTTCTGATTCTACCATGTTGTGAAATTTAGCTTATTTCTCTTTATTCTTTTCTTCATTCTTATTTCTCAATTGGTCATCTTGGAGTTTTGGGAAAGACTAATCTAATCATGGAGGTGGTTATTTTGATTGTTTGCCGCAACTGTTTTATGCATTTTGTTTGTGTTTTGATTAGGTTTGCGGTTGCTCGAGCTCTGGTTATTTGCGGATGCAAAGACGGAAATTTCCAATGGTTGAAGGGGTTTCTTATCTTACAGTGTATGAAGACGAGAATGATTTTAATGCTAGGTTTTCGGAACATTTTATCAAGTTGTTTTAGTTAGTCTCAGATAAAGGAAAACCGAACCAGCCGACCGGTTCCGTAAGGTCGAAAATATCGATGGTATAAGGGATTTCTTATGTTACGGTACGAAGATGTGAACGATTTTCGTCCAATAAGGTTTTTGGAATGTGCTAGTGAGTACAGTTGTCTTGTTTCACCGGTGAAAATAGCCGGCGGGATCGGACGTACAGATCGGTTCAATCGGGAAGCAATGTATCTGACAGTAGGATTAATATTTGATGTATCTGATAATATACAATTCTATGTACCCGTCGATAAATTATATGATGATACAACCTCATAGAGGTAATTTCACCGTAAATGTTAGTTTGATATTACTTTTGGAAAATATTGAAGAAGAACTACTTTTTGAAATGTTTGATTTAAACTTAAAGTGTTTGAGGTTGTTGTCAAAAGTACTTTTAAGTAGGTAAATTGATGGTATAAATTGAGATAAAGAATTGATGATATAAATGAGAAATTTTGTTCAAAAATACTTTTATACAAATGGAAAAGTTAGAAATTTCAACTTTTAAAAAAATACTTGCTCTGGAAAACACTTTTTGGTATACAAAGCTACATGTATTTTGTTGCTTTGTGTTTCAAAAGTACTTTTGAAAAACAATACAAAATCGAGTTTAAGTAGATGTAAGCTATACCTGCAACCTGAACTAAGATTCAATTGATAAAATTGTACAACTTTTTTGGCAATTGAAAATGCACATTAATAAACTAAAAATTAAAAACATTTGGACCCCAAAAGAGAAAAATCCACGCTTTATGGGCCTTTATGAAATAAGAGAAAATTATTGGGATATTTATGCAAAAATAAAAGAAACATTAGAGATGTAGACATGAGCCGTTGAGACGAATACGCGTTGCAGAATAAAACGGGAGCCCTGTAAACAATACGCCGCCGTTTCCATATGCAATCCTCACCATATATGCGTTTTCTTTTTCGGCTCTTATTTTTTTAGAGGAAAAAAAAAAAGATGACCACCCCGGTTTGCCCATTCGTGAAAGCGACTCGACCGGACGACACTGGTTCTGGCAAAAAATCCAGTGTCGGCGGCAGCGAAGCGGGGAGGAAAGAATCCGGTGACACCGCCACCGTGTCTCCGAAATGCCCTTTTGGTTACGATTCCAACAATTTCAAGCTTGGTCCTCTCAGTTGTATGATCTGCCAAGCACTTCTCTTTGACTCCACCAAATGCATCCCTTGTTCTCATCTCTTTTGCAAGTAATAATCAATTATCCCCCCTTTTCTATTTCTTTATTTTTTTTGGTTTTCCCCCTTATTTAACTCCATAATTGACCCCCTTTTCTGAAATTTTCCCCTCCTTCTAATGCCATGTTACTTAGACTCGGGTGTGTTGGATTCAGTATGTCTGATGGGTATGATTTGGTTTTTTCGTGTTATTAATGTATTTGGACGGTCATTGATCCTATACTACCCATGTTGAATATGCGTTGGGCATGAGTACTTCTAAGAATCCGGGCTCCAAAGATATAATAATACCTTTGTATTCCTTTTATAATCTGTATCTCTAGGTTTAAAGGTGTGTTGGATTTGGTATGTTCAAATTGGGTATGCAATTATTATTTTTTTTTTAAAAGTTCTTTTATGTGTTAGGATGGTCTTTGATCCCATGTACCCATGTTGAAATGCTTTGGACACGGTTACTTCGTGAAAAATGGACTTCACAACATATATCTAATAACTTTTGTTTTCCTTTCAGAGTTTGTATATCTCGGTTTAAGGATTGTCCATTATGTGGAGCTGACATAGAGAAACTGGAAGCTGACACCAATCTTCAAAGCATGGTTGACAGATTTATCGAAGGGCATGCTAGGATCAAGAGAGCACATGTTGGCATCGATAATGAAGGAGAGCAAGTCTCGAATGAGAATGACAGAAAGAAGGTAATTTACGAGGATGTCTCATTGGACAGAGGAGCTTTCTTGGTGCAACAGGCCATGAGGGTAAGTCCTGTGTTTGTTGCTTTATGTCTGTACTTCTAGCTGCCTGTTTCAATTATGTGAAATTAGTGTATGCTTGCTTTATATAGGCATTCCGTGCCCAGAATATTGAAAGTGCTAAATCTAGACTCACTATGTGTGCGGAAGACATCCGAGGTCAATTAGAGAAAATGGGCAACACATCTGAGTTGTGCTCGCAGCTTGGGGCAGTTCTGGGTATGCTTGGTGACTGCTGGTATGTTCTGGGACACGATTCTCTCCTGTCTCTTTATTGCATATGTTAATTTGCAAGCATCCATTACTAAATTTGCATTCGAGGTTTTAAGATGTTTAAGCTATGCTGCTGTGATTTATAACTCTGTGACTTCTATATCTCAAGACTTGCTCTAAACTTGAATATGAGATGTGTGAATCCTTCCTTGAGCTCTTTGTTATTTTGTACCATGTTACACAGGCTTGGGTTTGTGTTGGACATGGATATGCATTTGACATGGTTTTGTTCAATTTTTCCGAGATTTTCATGTATTGGGAATTTGGGAGTCTTTAGAGGATTATATCTCCGTACCTATGTCTCGATATGCCTCGGACATTAATATTTAGAGAAAAGGAAGAGTTGGTTTAACATGCTCTAGCAAATGTTTTGTTAGGCTCATGTTTTTTCAGAAGAATCTAATGAATTTATTTTACCATGGCACTTGTATGGAAGAATATCGAACTTTCTAATGACATGATACTACATTGAAAATAAAGAAACTTCAATTTAAATTTCTGAACCGTCATCTAGTGTCCCTATCCTCTTCTTTAAAAGTTGCATGACTGGCCGAGGCCAGGAACCCGGGACCAACCTGTAATTCAACTAAGGAAAGTTGAAGCATTCAAAAGCGACTTTAAATCTTAGAAATCATTGAGCTGAAGTCCTTCTTCCTGGCCTTAAAGTATGACTGAGGGTCTTTTACGATCATGAAGGAGAATCTTTATCGACCTTTGTATCGCAGAGATTCAACGACAGTTGAGGATGTTTAAACAGTTTCTTTGTGGAAAATATAACTGTTCTGTTCAAAAAGATTGCATTTATTTAAGAGTAATGTTTTTTAGTTGGATTGTGAAATAAGTTTGGGAGTTTATTCACTTGTTATTTATATAATAGTCTTGTTTATGCGGAGAAACAGAATATTTATGTGAAGATTAGCCTAATTTTAGTCTAGGAAACACGTACGTCTACATGCAAAATAGGCACGAGACAATATGGACATGATGATACCAGAATTTCTAAAATATTAGAGCATGGATAAGATAGGGCACAACATTGATAAGTGTATTTTAGGTGATAGTACACAATAAAAATGTAGAATTGATATTTTTTTATTTAAATATTAATAAGCAAATTACTTTCTTAGTTTTTATTTTAATTTTTTGAATTTAAAAACTTGAACTTTAAAGAAACCCATTTGAAACAAATTGCTCATTGTCAATTCCATATATGGGAGAAAGATTCACCAAAAAAAAAGGAAAAAAAAAGATGTAATTGAATTGCAAAGTACAATATCACGAGAATTAGGAACATCAATTAAATGATGAGAGAGAGGGAGAGAGAAGTTGTGAGAGAAAGGGCGGAAAGTAGTTTATTTTCTTATGGGATTTGGAAGGAGTTTGTGGATAATCTTAGTCGGAGAGTGTCAAGACGTGCGTTAAGGGAAATGTTCTTAGTTCATGGTCCAGTCCAGAGAGTCTATATTCCCAAGGTAACTAGAAATCCAAAATACATATTTTCCACTTTTGCTTTTGTGCAGTTTGGAAATGAGAATGGTTTGAGAAGGGCTGTAGAAAATCTTAATGGTGCAGTCATAGATGGGAGAAGGATCACGGTTGGAGTCGCAAGATACAAGGAATCCTGTGCATGGTTAGAGCGTAGTAAAAACGATTCAAAGAAGGTCGCATGTCCGACTTCTGCAGATATATCGAATTCAAATGAGCCAGATGGTGTTCATAGAAGTTTGAGGGATGACATATCGTATAAAGATGCATTGATGTCGAACAGGAGGTCGAGGAGTGTTCTGGAGATCAAGGATACGGTCGTTGATGCTCAAAACAAGGAAAAAGTCAGGAAAAACATCATGGAGATGCATATCTCATATGAGAGCTCGAGCTGGGGTTAAAAGATCATTGACGGGGATTATTAAGCATTCTTTTGAGTTAGAGTTAGTTCATAATGCCTTAGTAAATGAAGGCTATGACGTCCAGATTGTTAGATGGGGGTATGTCTGGAACTCTTGTGTAATAGTTTTTAATTCAGCTGAAGAAATGTCAGATGCTTGGATGAAGAAGAAAGATCTTCAATTCTGGTTCGATCGTTTAGAGCCATTACTGAATGATGAGGGTGTGCCATTGGCTTTTTGCTTGGTGGAGTTATTTGGGTTACTTCTTTTATGTTGGAATGAATCTTTCCTAGAAAGTTTAGTAGGGAGATGGGGGAGGGTGGTAGATATTCTTGATGACACTAAACAGAGGGAAGATCTTACAAAGGCAAGACTTTTAATTAGGGTGGCTAGCCCTTTTGATGTTCCAGACCAGATCACTATTGGATCATATGGAATATCTTTCAAAGTAACCATGAAGATTGGATCGACGAATGATGATACTATGTTTTTTTCCACAAATCCTCCGGTGGCCAGTTCCGATGAGGGACAGTTTGGAGCCTTTACGACTGAGAAAGAAGAGGACAAGGTTGGGTCAGAATCTGAGGAAGGCTCTGCCAGATCTGTAGAAGAAAATCGTCAGAGAGTGGATAGTTGGATGGAACAGGGTGCAGCTATCGGGTTTGGTGGAGTTGGTGGGGATAGGCGGTTTCCAAGAATTTCAAAAATTGGATCAGATATTAATGGAAAGTCAGATGTTCAGAATGGGGAGATTATCAAAGTGGGTGAGTTTGCAGGTTTTGAATTGAGAGATTAAAAAATGACGGCTGATGGGTCTGAAGCCCAATCAGAAGGAGATGAGCTTTTTGGGTCTAATGTAGGAAGGATTATTCCTGCTGGGCCAAGAATTAAAATAGATAAATTTGGGAAAATGGTTCAAGATCAGGTTTTGGCTAAGTCAGGATTTTACAGTAGAGAAGAAGAGGGGAAGAGGTCAGATTCAAAGATAATAGAAAAGGATGGTTTATGAGCTAAGGATCATGAGTTAATGGTGTTAGAGCCTTTCATTGATATCTCAGGAAGTAAAGTAAAGGGTAGACTGTTTTATAAGTCTGATAGCTCGTTAAGTATCAAAAGTGTACCGTTAGAGAAAAGGAAAATCGGAAGTTACAAAAGGGTCTACAAAAGGAGTAGAGGCAGAAAATATTGGCTGGGAAGTATCTTGAATTTTTAGCCTGAGAAAGAAAATGCCTTAATCG